TACATATATAATATATCAGATTAATCATCTTTTGATGAGTTTCGATTTGACATCCATATTGTTTATATAAAATAAATAAATTATATTTATCTTTATAATAATATTAAAATTATTTACTAAAACTAATTAGAAAATAAAATTATTTATCAATTAATATATTTATGTTTAATGTAGTTATATGTTATAAGGTAGAAAATTTATTATAATATAACACATATAAGTCGCACAAGTAACATGTGTCATACTAAAATATATAATAATATATACTCCCTGCTATTTTTATTATTTGTCACTTTGGCTTAATTGATCATTGATAAAATAAATATCGTTTTAGATATGCTGTTCATATTTTTCCATTTCAATCCTCCATCTAATACATATTGTCTCTTCATATCTCATCTTCATCGTTTCCCATAAAATCCATTAAATAGGGTTAATATTGTCAAGAAAAAAAAATCTTAATTAGTGTGTTGCATTTGAATTGATATTATGAAGTCCGTTTGTATTTTACTATTTATATATATATATATAATACAAAACAGTAATATATATCCTTATAAATATATATATATATATATATGAAATATTGTTATCTATGAATTAGGCCTATTAGTAATATATCACTAATAAGGATATAAAATACTTTTATCTATGAATTGATAAAAAGACAGTAATATATATCCTTATAGATAAAATTTAAATCTATTTATCAAACTAAATTAAATTATATCAAATAAAACTATAAATTATATTATAAAGTAATAGAAATTGGTATGTATTCTTTTAGAAATGATATTTATTTCAAATCTAATTGGTACATTGTCAATGTAATAAAAATAAATAATTATTATATAAATTCTAAAATTACATATAAACTATGAAGCACGACTGATACGACACTTGATGCATTAGGCATCTAATTAAGTAAAAAAATTAATCTATTTTGCTTAATATTAAATAAACATATTCTATGCATATACATATCACCATAATATTTCTATTTATTTAAGATAATATTTTTGTACTTATGTAATAGTAAATAATATCGATATTTTATATGATATAAGTAAAAAAAATTTAACACGGGTTGACATTTTCATTTATTGTACGGGTGTTTAATTATTATGATTAAAAAAATATAATTTGACAATTTAATTAAAACCCAAAGTAATGTTTTATATAAAATTAATTAATTTTAGTTTATAAAAAATAAAAAAACTAATATTTTTTATAAAAGCTTTCTAATTCAACACCCGTGTAATACACGGGTATTGTACTAGTTAATATTATATATGAATAATTTATAATAAATACAAAAATTATTAACTTTTAAAATATATTTACAATCTAAAAATTGGTACTGTGTTGTATATTTTTTAAAGTTTTCGTAGATATGGATAGATCAGATTACAGAGATTACAACGAATCATCTTAAATTAACACATGAATTACGAAACGATCCACATATAACATTATGAAGCATGTACACATAAGATTATAACTAAGAAGCATGTGCAAATAAGATTACGAAGAATTGGAAGTTGATACAAAAACTCAACTTTTTATATATAGGGAAGGATTGAGTTTAGTAAAATAACTCATTGATCCGCGGCATCATCAAGAATGTAAATAATACTTCATTTACCACTTAATTCTCTCTCTG